CATTCTATTTTCGAAGATAGTCATTTCTTCCTCATGTTGCTTCTGCTATTGTTCACTCTATGCTTTCCCTTACTATAGTTTTTGTTGCAACTCTAACAACACTTGGTGTTGCTTGGCATTTTGTAATTTTTGCTTGATGATCCGCTTATCCTAACCATTGTTTATCAATTTAGAATCCATAAGAAAAAGTTTTCTATAGACTCATATTGGATGTCAAATGTACTTGTCAAAAAGTAAAGACAAGAAGTCTTTTATTGAAGATTCCTAGTTCTCAACTTCTTGATTTTTAATCGTCACGTATCAAATGTTGATTGTATCTACAAAAAGAATTTCAATGTCAAAATTAGTAAGTATTCAAAATATTTAAATATATTATGTAAAATTATATACCATGATATAAAAAAAAAAATATTATCGTTAACTATCTAATCAAATTAAAAAATTTAAGAATTTTTATTATCTCATAACTGACAACATCTCGATTAATTTGAACACTACTTCTATAGACGAGACCGACAACCACTCAACTCCGAGAGCTCTCCAGTAGAATATTCATTATAATTCAACTTAAAAAATTATCATACTGTTTGTCATCTCTAAGTCGAGTTGGGGAGGTACGTGGTCCCATCCGTAAAACCACGTGTCGACAATCGTTATCATCGGTTCAACGAACAAATAAACTAAACAAAAAAGTAAAACGCCACGTCACGTAAACGCGGAATTCCGCTCCCAAATCCATGCGTTGACTCGTGCCGCCAAAATCATCAACGCCCAAATGGGGGCTCCACTGTAACCTTATCATAGTGAAGCACACACCAGAACGGTGAATATCGTATATAATAAACGAAACCCCGTCTCCGAAGCATAAAAAGAGTGTGAGTGTGACTCTATGAGAACAACAAAATCAAACACCGTCTTTCTCTTTTCTCGCGTGTCGTACGGTAAACACACACACTCCCTCACTCCTTCACGCATATTTTTCCCCAATCTCCGATCCCTGATTTCTAGGGTTCCGGCGTAAATCCGCGTTTTAATAATAACTTTAATAACAGTAACACCTCCCATTCCAATTCCTTCGAATCGGATGATATTCTTTTGTTCTCTTTTTTTTTTTTTTCTGACACTGTATTTTACAGATTCGTGCAGTGGCGGTGAATGGTGAATGCGATGAAGAAGAAACGAAAAGAAAGCGAGGTCTCGCGGTCGATCATGCCGGAGATTTCGCAGTCGCATTACTCGCTGGAGCGTTGTTCTCGTTTCAACAAACGGTGCAGGGAAGACGGCGTGGCCACGGTTCCGCCTCGCGGCGCGCCGTTACTTCTGACGCCGTCGAGGGGGCTGAAGCGGAAGATAGGGTGCATTGAGAACGCCACGCAGATGGGGAAGAGCGGGAGGATCGAGGACTATTACGTGACCGGCGGCGGCACGCTCGGGAGGGGGAAGTTCGGGTCGGTGGCGGTGTGTCGCGCACGTGCGGGGGGCGTGGAGTACGCGTGCAAAACGCTGAGGAAGGGGGAGGAGACGGTGCACCGGGAGGTGGAGATAATGCAGCACGTGTCGGGGCACCCTGGGGTGGTGACACTCGAGGCGGTGTACGAGGATGCGGAGAGCTGGCACCTTGTGATGGAGTTGTGTTCCGGGGGGAGATTGGTTGATAAGATGAGAGAGGGTCCTTGTTCGGAACACTTGGCTGCTGGGATACTCAAGGAGGTGATGCTGGTGGTTAAGTATTGCCATGATATGGGGGTGGTGCATAGGGATATTAAGCCGGAGAATATTCTGATCACCGGCTACGGGAAACTCAAGCTCGCGGATTTTGGTCTTGCCATCAGGATTTCTGAGGGTAAGTTGATGTGTGAAAGTGAAACCTTGTTATGATCCTTTTGCTCTAACTAGGTTTAATTGAAGTCTTAGAATTCGGGGTTGGACCAAAGGTTTTGAATTGTGGTTGTAGCTCTGGCGTGATTGGTTTTAAATTGCGGTTGTGGTTCTGGCGCGCTTGATCATTGACATTGGGAGAAATAGATGACAATTGCAGGCGCAATTGTGGTGTGGTTTTGTTGTGATCCTTGACATGTGGACAAATGTGACTGCAGGTGGTTTCATTGTTGCGATCCCTGACATTGCTGGAAATTGCAAACAAATGCCACTGCAATTGTGGTGGCAAAAAACCTAAAAAAAACTTGATGTTGTGGCCAATATTCCAGATTTAAAACTTTGGCATGACACTATTTTGGTTGCAGGTTGCTTCTCACTTACATAAACTATTTTAGTTGTCTCACTAGGTGATATGGGATCTTCCATGCAAGTTTTAAAAAAGAGTTCGCAATTTCAAATGTGACTAGCATGTCAAGGTTTTTGGGTTGTCTAACACTTCAATTGCAGAAGCAAGAGCTGCATTTGTTTGCAGTTTTCTGCAATATCAAGGATTGTGATAAAACAACAACTATGATTGTGACTGCAATTTAAAACCTTGTGTTTAATTGGTGACACTTGTTGAAATAAAATTCAAAGGAATTAATAATCATAAGGAAGTTCTGGATAAGCACTTTCAAACACTTGCCAAGTCCTAGTGGAAAATGGTCTAGGCAGGTAAGCTAGTGTTTCTGCATATGGGGAGAAAGTATGAAGAAATTTTGTTTTAATGAGCTTTTAACTGAAACAGATGTTGGCTGTGTGTGTTTTACTGTTATTATTAGTTCTAAGAGTCAATTAACTTTTGGTTGTAATTGAACTTTGTTTCAGTCATAGTTTACTATTAAGATTATTTTGTTAAATCTTGAAGTAAATGTGTTGGAAAGTCCTTGAGAACATGCTTATACAACATTCCTATTCTATGGTCATTTTAGTTGAGTTTAATTTTTAAGTATTTGAAAAGATTAATAAGTAATTGGCTTATTATTGTTGTTATTGTTTGTATTCTTGTGTACAAGTTAATTATTAGCATTATGGTTTTGTGTCTTCTTGCATTTGACACACATTGCAACACAAGCCACAGTTTGTAGCTTATACATTATTGAACAAAGATGTGATTTGTAACTTGTAAGTGCATAGTGGATGTGTGTACAAACACACAATAATGTTGTTGATACCTTGCCTCATTGTTTAAAATTTTGCATTGCAGGTCAGAATTTGACAGGTGTGGCTGGGAGCCCTGCATATGTTGCACCAGAAGTGTTGTCGGGTGGATATTCTGAGAAGGTGGATATATGGAGTTCTGGGGTGCTCCTGCATGCTTTGTTGGTTGGTGGTCTTCCATTTAAAGGAGATTCTCCGGAAGCAGTTTTTGAGGAAATTAAGAATGTCAAATTAGATTTCCAAACAGGGGTATGGGAATCAATATCTAAACCTGCAAGAGATCTTCTTGGGAGAATGCTGACAAGGGATGTTTCGGCAAGGATAACTGCTGATGAAGTACTTGGTAAGTTTATGTTACAATGTCTTCCCTGCTCTATATTTTTTTCCTCTGAACTCACCAAAGATTCGTTGTCTGCAATCTGATTTTTGTTATTTTAATCTTAAGATAATTATCATAGATATTATTTCCAAGTTTTGTTGAAACTCATCTTTGTTTCTCCCGTGGATTCTCAGTATGGAGATTGGCTGCCTTGTTTTAACAAGTTTTGCTGGTCCCTTGAGTGGTGGTTTACCTGGTTATACTATTTTGTACTGTTTGTGTGGGTGGGTGTGTTTTGTTTATTTTCTTGGTAGGGATAACAGTGAGAAGCAGCTAATTCTCACTTATTTTTTCAGTTTTTATTACATGTTGCTTTTATATGTGGATAAGGTCTATTGTCGACAAATGTTTTTTACTTTTAACAATAAGTAAAAGCAGCATTTTCAAGTACTGTTTGATTGGTTTAGTCTTTTCGCCACATGTTGTGTGCATGTTAAATTAACACTCGATGGCTCAATTTCAGGGCATCCATGGATATTGTTCTACACTGAGCGCACGTTGAAGATGGTGCCTGTTAAATCAAAATTGAAATTCCAAAATGCAGCCGCTTGCCACAAGTTGGTTGCATCACCTGAATCTGGGTCAGGAGGAAACAAGAAAGGCGACGGCTCCCTTAATGAAGGTTCAAGCTCGTTCTCATCCTCTGAGAGTTGCAATTCAGAATATCGTGATGACTGTGGGTGGATTGATGCACTTGCCACTGCAGTTTCACGTGTGACCATATCGGAACCAAAGAGGACCAAGTTGTGGTCTCCCACTGCTCCAATTGATCAGCAGGGTTCATCTAACATGAAGACTAGCCTCTGTAAAGCATTCTGACCTACTGACAGGTTGACACCGGCAGCATACACCACAATATCGACTGCTTTAGCTGGGTTTTATAATAAACTTAGCCCAACACATTCTACAGTTGGCAAAAGGGGTTACTGGCTAACGTCCTAAATTAGTGGACCTGGGTTTTCTCTCCAAGTTTCTTTTTAGTCTGATATCTGATTACAGTATTTTTTTTTTTTTTGTTCCTTTGTCCATATAATCTATATTAATAAATTAGCTGGGAAAACATGGTTGTACAGAACATGTAAATATAATGTTTTAGTGTGGCTGCATGTTTATGCCTATGCCGGGGAAGGGGTTTATATAATGATAGAATATGTTATGATTTCACTAATTAGTGAAAACTCAAATTATTTTCTTTTGGAACATTTTAATCAGACCCTACCATTTAACTTGTATTTCGTTAAATTTTAAACCGTTGAAACAACCAAGGGAGTGCCCCTCTGAGAAGAAATCTCTGGCATGAAGGAGGAATATCATTAAAATGGTGACATATACAGAACTGTCGGGACATGGTGAGGTGGAGTAATTACTCCAGATTGACAGTTTTCCATTTTTCTCTACAGTTGCTATGACACGATGTAGTACAGAGGACCCAAAAAGACCAAAATGAGAATGATGAAGGACTAGGAAAAAACTGGGAAATGAGTGAAATGTCTGTCCTCTGTTGGAGGTAAAAAAGTGACCGGATGCTGATCCATAAATTATTCTTGGACATTAATTTGTGAGGTAATCACTTGTATACTGTCACTATAAATTTTTTTTACACTGACAATTAATTATATCTCTTAATTGTGACATGTTACTGTAAACACATTTACTTTTAACAGTGATATGACACAATTAACAGATATAATTGGTTGCTAGTGTAAAATTTACACTGACAGTGTACAAGTGATTAACTCTTAGTTTGTAGAGTTTTTAACAAAATGAATTAAAAAAATTTAATTATTGATGTCATTCAATTATAAATTAACAAGTATGTCAAATTTATTAGTTTTTACGATAATTATCTTAAAAATCATATTTCATTGATTTAATTGCTTACGTTTAACACTTAAAATTTTAAGAGCCGCGAGAACCAACATTAAAAACATAACATTTCTCATCTTTCAAACCAAAATAATCTTCATGTAAATTTTACTAATAATTTTACTATTTTTCTCATTTGTGAAAGCAAAAAAAAAAAATTCTGCAGAAATATTTATGATATTAAGAACAAAAAATATTCATTAATTTTAAGTAATTAAAATATTTGGTAAAAGAAAGTAATTAAAAATATTTCATAAAATAAAACTTGATGGAAACTCCAATGAATAATGATGATAGAATTCTTCGTTAAAGTTCCTTGAATCCTTCCTTGATGTTTTCCAATGGATTTTGACCTAGAGAAAGAGGAGCAAGCAAGTGCATTATTCCACAAGAAAATTTTCCTTGTTGGACATGCTTTAGGATAATGGTTCTCCAATGGGACCTTTAAGAGAGAAAGGAGAGAATTATAAAAAATAGGGTACTCATATACTCAAAAGTGATAGAATACACTAGCTAAAACCCTTAAATATAGATTTAGATAGTTTATGGGAGGAGTTAGACTGACCATGGGTTCAAAATGAACCATAGTCTCCTAATCATGGTGGTAAGTGCGCCAATTTGAAATTGAAATTGAAATTGAAATTGGTGCATAAATCTAGTTAGAGCATGTGCTCTCATGTGTAACTAGATCTAGGAAATTTAAATAATGCATTTGAATGTTATTTGAACTACATTAGAGTTTTAATTTGGCTAACCCATATGTGCCCTCGCATGGCTGGTTACATGGTATCAAATTAAAACCTAATGTGGTTTAAATGAGATGAAATACATGGTTAATCTTCAGGCCTAACATACAAGAGATCTTAGGCTACTTGATGCAAAAATACAAGGTCAACAATCTTATACTACAAGGCTAAAGAAATACAAACTCAAACAAAACCTAAAGTCTTATACTATAAGGCCCGTAATACAAGGCCCACAATAAAAAGAAGTATTAAACTTTAACTAATAGTCCAACTCAATAGGAGTTTAGGCCCACTAATATCAATACAAATCTAATCCTCCTACACCCTCGTAACCATGACCTTAGTGGTAGTTCTCTTGGCTATGTCCAAAACTTTTATGAATGACAAATTTTATCTTTAAGTAGTAAAATATATTTAATATTCCTTAACTAATATCCATAAACATTTGGAAAAATATTACTTAGAAAAAATTAAATGGTTTTAGAATATTAATTTTTTCTACCTTTTCGTTTAATGTACTTGGAAGAAAAATAATAGTAGGTAGATATAATGTTGGTTAACCTTTATCGTGGCAAAAATAATTAATAAATTAATTTTTTTTCTATTATGACAATCTTTAACTTACTGGATCCAAGGCTAATCTCACTCGCGATATTGTGATTATAATTAGTCCAAAAGATTTTTGTACATAACAAAGATCAAACACAATATTTTTTATTAAATAGATCGTCTTACAAAATATGAGTGTAAAATATCTAACTAGTATAATCTATCGGATTAACTAATAAATTAGTTAAAACTTGAAACATATTTTTTAAGTGTAAAACAAATTATTAAAATAAGCTTATTAACTTAGGAGTACTAAAAAAATAATCATTAAACTAAATAATACATAAGTTTTTTTATAAAAGGATATGTTTATGTGAATCTTTTATACATATTTATTTTACTGATAAAAAAAATATTTTTAGAAATCATAATGTCAAATTTTAATTAATTTCAAACTTATATCATAAAATAATATAATAGCATAATGATTAAAACAAATAATGCAATATTAAAGAAAATGATAAATAAATAATTTTATTCAAATATTAAGATAGAGGTTAATATAATAATTATTTATTTAATGTAATAAATAATTTTAATAAATATTTTTTTTAATTATGTTAGAATTAAATATATAAATTAAATGTATTTATATTTTTGTTGATATTGTAAACATATATTTAAAGTAAAAACCTTTTTTATTTATAGTTTGAAAGTATTATATAAAAAATTTAAAATAGACATAGATGAATTTTATTATTATATATTAATTAATGTTTTTATTTAAAGAAAATAAATTGTTTAAAGTAATAAATTAGATTCATTTATTTTTATTTCAATCATGTTAGAATTAAATATATAAAGTAAACATATGAATTATATTTATCAATATACTTTTAAAAACTTTATTTTTTTAAAACAATTTTTTAATTGATAAGTTAAATTTTATTTTATTATAGTCTTAAAGTATTGTTAGATTCATTTAATTAATAAATTATTTTTTTTATAAATAATTATATAATTATTTATTATTTTGTAAACTATTATTTATTATTTATTTTGTAAACTATTCTCTCTCTTTGCGTCAGTTTAATGGGACAAAACTTTAATGGAAATCATCTGAAGCCTCATGCGTTTTCTTTGCATTTTTGCGATACATAGAAAGCACCTAGACCCCATACGTTTTCTTTATATTTTTGCAATACACAGAAAATGCTCGAGCCCCAACTCCCAAGCATTTTCTGGACAACTTGTCGAGGAGCGTGCCAGCGTAACTCAAACTATTTACTTAGATAAATAGTTTTTAAAAAAAAATATTTAGTATTTTGATTTTTTTATTATATATAATGGCCAAAAAGCCTGAGTTGAGAGGACAACGCCTCTTGTAGTGTATTAAATCATATATAACATAATTTCATTTCATAAAAACTGGTTCGGCTGTCATCCTGTCGCTGTTTCTTAATTTCTTTAACCAGCAATTTGCGGATTTCCTACACATTTTCACACAGGATTACAAATATCTAATGAATTAAGAATATAGATCATGGTTGCTGCCTACAAAGTACTTAAATGGTCACATGTCATTCATAGAGAAAAGTAAATAACCGTAAACTACTAAGCACGCAAATCATTCATCTTTTTTCAAATAGAATTACTGCTTTAACTACACAATATATCCGAGAAACATATGGCAAAAGTCAAATATATTTTAATAACAAACTCCAAAGGATTATGGAGCCTTCTCTTTACAACAAAATCTGTTATATCATGTGAATCAACGGATTAAGCCCTTTAGTGGAGTCTTTCAACCAGGAAACTGGACTGCAAATCACCTTCTGAACATCTTGGACCAAAGGTACACTACAAAGAAACAGACTAACGCAAACATAATGACATGAATAATATGGTTTGAACCACTTTGGATGATGCTCCTGTTCAATCTTCTCAGGTTATTCTTCACTCCAGCTTGAGCCTTTATCATTGTCATTTGCTGCATTGAAAAAGATAAAGCTAAAATGTTAACAAAACAGTAGGACAATTTCCCGCTAAAGAGGAGAAAAACGATTACTATGAATCAACATGCAACAAAAGCCAGCCAAAAGATTTTTCCTGTGTACTCCGTTAAAGACAACAAAGGTTCAAAATATGAATAGCAGCATGTATGACATGCTTTTCCTTTCCTCCTTTAAACTTCTAAAGTCCTTAACAGTTAAAATTACAATAAGCTGACCACAATTTTATAATTGAGAAACATTTTATGACATAGTTAGCATTCCAAAATTCATTTTGCCTGACGTTGGCAACACCAGGTGAATGTAGTCATTTTTTCCATGCAGAGAACTTTAATTCATGTGGGCAATACATTACTGCCTCAACATGCCACAATCCGGAGGGAGATCCCAAATAATTAAGCAAACAGTATCAACATAGAATTAGTATTGGTAAATAGACTACCGGTATTAGCAGAGTATTACATAGATGGCACCTCCGTATATAACTATCAGGAGAATTTTATGCATGACAAAACTTAGATGTAGATATATCATCTTTATCATATTTAACTGTCTCATAATTTATTCAATAATTTAGTATTCCAATTTGAGTAAATCTTGTATACACGTTACTCCAACAAGTCACCTTTACACAACCACTTAAAGGGTGGCAACTCATTAAAATTAGAAACAAAAAAGTCAATTGTGAAATCAAAAAAGGCACGCGAATGACTCTGAGCATCATTTTTCTTATCCTACACCAAACTTCCCTTTCCTCAAAAAGGGAACTATGGACACCTCCTGGAACTGCCATGGCCACTCCTCCCAAAGTCACTATAGCCACCTCCTTCAACACCGCAGTCAATACCTCTTCCCAAAGCTTGTTTTGCCTCCTCATCCTAAGAGGAATCATGAAATAATGGGAACCACAATTCTAAGACCAGTGTATGGGAACCACAAAATAATAGAGGCATCACGTTGACAAATTGTAAAGCCTCCCCTGAATCTTTCAATTCAAGGAAAATTGACTGCTTTTCGATAAAATTGGATTTCATATTATATTAAGAGAATTTGGTTCAGTGATTGGCTGTCTAAGTTCAGATATTTTTGCTGATATAAACCATGGGCATGGATGAATGTTTGCTCCATGGCTAATCAAACAATGTGCAGACTTGGCTACATTTCCCTGACATTTTGATTTGTTTCTCTTGGGTTTGTGTTTTCATCTGCTCCACCAATTTGCATATGATTAAAGCTTGTAATACAACTTGAGTAGAGGAAGCCCATCTTTCATCAACATTGGAGCTGCATCCACCTGAAGCAATTTCATTGTTCTTCGTTGTCATCTCTATGCCTCAATTAATTTTTTTTTGACTGGCAAACTGTCCCGTGCTTTTCTTTTTTAATTTCACAATTGACTTTTTTTTTTATATTTTTAAAATGAGTTGTCATCTTTTAAGTGGTTGCGTATAAAGGTGACATGTTGGGGTAGTGTGTATACAAGATTTACTCTTCCAATTTTACATTGCTGCAAATTAACCCATTTTCTCAGATATTGATTAGCTTTAAAGAATTCTTATTTGCGTTCCTTTTGTATGGAAAATAGTATTTGGGCAGATTAACTTATTGATTATAAATATAATCAATATCAAATCATAATAATTGTTTTAATGCAATTTGCAAATAAAATTAGGTATATTTAGTTGCATACTTCACAACCAAACACATACCCCATCCGATGGATTGGAGATGGGACAAACACTAGGAAAAAAACAAAACTAAGAGAAACGAAGATTATCTAAGAAATTGTGTACCAGTTGTTCAAGAAAATCTTTCTGATACTTCACTTCTGTCCCTATCTCCTCAGCAACCTGTACCAGAATATTGGAAGTAGTATGAGAACAAAGGACAAAGAAGAGACAAAAAAAATAGAGAAAGAAAGTTGAGTTTTGAAACATGATATAGTTTCATCCAACTATCTTCTATAAAAGGAATAACTAGCAGGATATAATTCAACGATTTAGCTTCCCCGACAGAACACTGTATAACTTATAGTTGGAAACTGAACTTATTTCTTATCATTGGCAACAGCATCAAGCATTCATGCATCAATTATCAAATATTCTATTGAATATAGTTATGTGAAAAGGGAGAAAAAGCTAGGAAACATAAATACAACAAGAATATTCATGTGGTTATCTTCATTGACAATTTCTTTTGGGGGCCAAGAAGATGCAAATTTCTTTTCGAGAATAAAGCAAGCTAAAATGTAGTCAGTTTTATTTCCCCTTCCAAGTTTCAAGTTTTAAGATGCAATCTACAGCCACTGGTTGTTTTCACAATCATGGTTTAAAAAAATGGTCTGCGACTGCCATTTTGTGAAGGTTTTGAGATCTCCACTACAGCCACATTAGCTGCATTTGTTTGTAAATTTCACAATATCAAAGATTGCGATCAAACTGCAATTGCAACCACAATTCAAAACCTTGTTTACAACCACCGATTATTATCACAGAAATCTGAAAAAAGAATATAGAATAATTCTAAAAAAGTAAAATTCATGTTCTTCAGATGAATAAAAATAAAAAGAAGGTATGGAGCAAATGCAATACCAAATAAGCAAAGAAAAACAGTGAATTAGTGATCCCATATGACACAAGATCAGCAGTATAATTAGCCAACAGGGGATTACCCTACAAGTTCACAAAGAATGACGAATCAAAGTTTTAAATTGCAATCCCAATTGCGGTTGCAGTTTCGTCACAAATGCAGTTGCAATGCAGTTGTGGTTAATCAAAAAACGTTGATTTTGCCGCAGACCAACTTCTATAACCTTGCAAAGAATCCTATAAATTAGAGCAATTGCTATTAGCTGTAACTCATTGTTGGGTTAATTTATATTGAAAAAAGTTGTCCCCTGTCCAAAACTTTCCTATTCTCTTTAACCCTCAATCTTGAGTACCTACACGAATAGAGAGGCTTTTAAACATGACCAATCCAAGTTCATTACATCACAAAATGCAACACATTCAAGTCTTCAACCAACATCTACTTGTTTAAATGGCCAATTTCCCCTAAACAGTGAATTAGGTCTGAATCTTATCAACCAAACTTCATTTCTTCAAATTCGTCCAACCCCCCTTCCCATTTAGAACAATCAGGACTAAACGACTTTCAGATATTAAGCTCTCAATTAAAAAAAAAATCAAAATTTCATACATGCACAACAAAACAAAGTAATAATAACAACTACAAAGTGAATAGACAAAAAAATAAATTAAATTAAAATAAGAAAAGACACATACATGTTTCAATCTTCTAACTTGGCGGTGAAGACCGGTGATCTCATCGTCCAAGTCCATTGGATCAATACGCAATTGGATCTCCTCGGAGGCACCAACGGGTCGGGTGCTAAGCCCATCACTGCAATATCCAACACATGCAATTCAATAGATGTGACGAATTCGAAGGAAGAGAGAGAGAGAGAGAGGGAGATACCTTGATCGGTAAGGGGCGGCGCCGCCGTAGGAAGAACCCGCTCTGTGGGAATTGGCGGCCATCGAGGGAAAACTGGTAAAAACCTAATTTAATTTGACGCAGGATGTGTTGAAAGGGAGATGAATTGTACAGACACGAAATTATGTTGACGGGTTTGAATTGTTGCTGGATAATCAATAATCAATGACGACGAAGTCTTAGTAGAGAAGAAAATCGAAGGAACCAGGAAACAAATAGGAGCATGGAAACTTGCTTTCCAGAGAACTCCACCCTTCGATTTTTTTATTTTTTTAATTTTTACATCTTTATAAGGGTGGAAAAATAAAGAGAGAAGAGAAAATACATTATATTTTTTTAATTTATCGTAATTACAATAACGATATAGATTATGAATATAAGATTATGTGCTTTTGTTTCAATCTCTCTTATCACAAGATAATCATAATAATTTTAGAGAATATCATGATATTTCCCTTTGAAGACAAAATAGGGGGGAAAAGTAAAAGTTATAAAATTAATTTTATAAATAAATAAACATATTTTTATTTTTTTTATCCGATCCAAGTTAAAAAAAATTATTCTTTCTTCTTTTTCAATATAATGATCTTTAAAATAACATATAAAAAAAAGTGTTATATGAGATGTAAAAATTAAAATAAATAAAAATACAAGTAACACCAGTTAACTTAGTCATTATATCACATATCATAAAACTCAAAATAGAAAAGTTAATTATTATATAAAAAAAAATTGTTTTGGTATGTAGGATTGTTCCTAAAGAATTCTAGTTGTTATTTTAATCCATAACATTCAATGAGTATAACTTAATTCTACTATGAATGTTTTTCCTTATATATTGAACATGAGTCTTGTATTAGAATTTCGTATTCTTTGTCCTTAAATGCGTATGTGAGAACATCATGTCTTAATGCTTCTTCGAATCCTGAAATTTATGACCATTATCTGATGCATATAGTTGATATTATGTGGTCCAACGGATTGCGGTGCCTATGTTACATCTTGGAATACATCATCCTAAGACCAGGTCACACCACTAATCATATAACTATCGACTATCCACATGGTCGGCCTTTGGCCAACCCTAACTGTGAGACCCCCCGTACGAACTTATTTTCCCCAAACCTTCTGGTGGTGGAGCTGAGTGAATTGGGCTGCTAGCTGGTGTTGGATTTCTCCCTTCTTCTTTCTCGTTCGTTCAACACTAGTACAAAAATTAGTTTTAAGATCAGAGTTTTAAGATCGGTTATTAGAGAAACCGATCTTAAAAGTAATACGATGGCAATTTTGTAAATAAGATTACAATTTTTAAGATCGGTCACATTTTAACCGATCTTAAAAGTGTCACGGTGGCATTTTGGTAAATAAAGTTACAACTTTTAAGATCGGTTCCATTTTAGCCGATCTTAAAAATACTTTTAAGATCAGCTAAAATATAACCGATCTTAAAAGTTGTAATCTTATTTACAAAAAGTACCACTATGGCATTTTTGTAAATAAAGTTACAATTTTTAAGATCGGTTCCATTTTAGCCGATCTTAAAAGTATTTTTAAGATCGGCTAAAATATAACCGATCTTAAAAGTTGTAATCTTATTTACAAAAAGTACGACTATGGCATTTTTGTAAATAAAGTTACAATTTTTAAGATCGGTTTCCATTTTAGCTGATCTTAAAAGTACTTTTAAGATCGGCTAAAATATAACCGATCTTAAAAGTTATAATCTTATTTACAACTTTTAAGATCGGTTCCATTTTAACCGATCTTAAAAGTACTTTATTTTTCTAAAGATTTAAAAGGATAACGATTTTCCTCAAACAACAAATTTTTTTTTTTTAATGCAGAATAGGTAGCAACACATTCTTTTATCATATTTCTTTATTATAAGAAATTAATACTTAATTAATGCTTCAATACTAATAAAAATAATTAAATTAGCATATATTATAAAAATTGATAAAATTAATTTTGTTTTTAGTCATTCAAATTTGGAGTATATATTTTTCAGGTCTTCCAAGTCTTCTAAATATCAAAAATTATTATTTTATTCTCTCAAATTTAAAATTTATCTTTTAATTTTTGTAATTTTAAAAATATTATTTAAATTATTATTATCTAATTGATAATGAAAAATTAAAAGAGATTAAAATAATATTTTTATATTTAAAAAAATTATATTTTAAATTTGAAAGATCAAAATAATATTTTTTTTT